CATCTCTACTAATAGCTCCCCCAAGAAGTTTCACCCCCAAAGGCGGCCTCCCGATGTCCGCCGGAAATAGCCCCTCCCGTAACTTCCTACCATCACACGAGAGCCAAAAGAGCTCGGTTTTCTTGATATTGAGCTGAAGGCCCAATTTTGGGCCAATCACCATAATGATGTCCAATGCTTTGGCACCCTCCTCCGAATCTCTGATAAGTGTCATCCAAGTACCATGCATGGAGAAGAAGCTTGCAATGGTCTCTAATCTTATGCGAGAGCGGGTGCAACACAATGGCAAAGAGAAGTGGTCCCAAGGGGTCTCCTTGTTGAACCCAAGTAGAAGACCGAATATGTGTGTTGCCTAGATATAACCTTGCTGCTTGACCATATAGGAATTCTACCCACGAGGAAATAGAGGGACACCTCAATCTGACCTCATGAAGTAATACGGATCTGTCAACAAGGTTAAAGGCATTAGAGAAATCCACGGTAAGCATGGAGAGAGATTTGTCATCGTGGCGCTCACTTAACAACCTATTGGCGCTATGTAGAACGGCCTCAGCGCCACCCGACACCCCGACTCCGAACTGAAAATCATTGAGATATTTGGCCATTTCTTTACCAACCCCCTTCATGGCCAACTTGGAAACCAAACGTCTCCATATAGTACCTACTGCAATAGGCCGTATTCCCTTGTCAGGTTTTAAGAGCGGCGTGAGAGGAGCAGAGGCAACAAATTCTGCCAAGCTCGAAGGGCATCTTCCCCCTAGCCATAGATTAACCACATAAATTGTTTTAAAAAAAAGAAGAAATTGGAGGAAAGACTCAAAATCACAACCTCCAACCTTCCGTAGAAAGGGAGGACTTAAACAATTGAGTTGAAGTCTCATTTGGTTTATAATTTCATAAAACGCGTTTATATAATAACCAAATCATTAAAACATAAATAATAAAAAATAGAAAAAAAAACATATTTTTACTTAAAACCAAGGTTGTCAAGATCGGGATCCTACCTAGGATCGTTTTTAGGTTTGCAAGATCGGGATCGGGATTCTAAGATCCCACAAAATAAAATATAATTTTAATTTATAATTTTTAATCATTAAAAAATATTTCAAACATTCAATTTTTCGTTCAAAAGTTATAAAAACTTCAAAATATTAGTCATAAGCCACAATACAAAATGATAAATGGTAAATTGGTAAAAGGTAAAAGACATAAAGTGGTAAAAAGAATTCATTTGCAAAAAAAACAAAAAAAAAAAAATCAATGGAAGGTAGGATCGGATCGGATCTCGATCCTACGATCCTACCCTAAATACGACCCTTTTACGATCCGGATCGTTTTTAATACATAGGATCGTAGGATCGTACGATCCTACGATCAGGATCGCGATTTTGACAACCATGCTTAAAACTTTGTTTTACATAAAAAATATATTTTTACTTATTATAAAAAAATAAATTTTTATATGTTTTTTTATGTATTTATTTTACATAAAATATGTTTTTTTATGTATTTAAAAAATACGTTTTCATATAATATGTTTTTACGTCTTATTGGAAGGCAAAATCGGTCGAATAAATTTTTGTTTTGGCCAAATTGGTTTTTTGAAAACTGTTTTTCGGTTTAAAATGTGCATTAAAAGAAACATAACAACAATTTTGTTACGTATTTAAACAATTTACATGTTTTTTATATTTTTTATGTGAGGAGTAGTGCTAATTATAGTTATTTCACCAAAGGACTTCTAGCCCAGCGGTACCGGGTGTTGTCATTCCTCCTAGAGGTTGAGGGTTCAAGTCTCTTTGGAGACATAGATGGAATTAGAAGTAGTTTACGAGTAGAGTAGATTTGCAGTTCTAAAAAAATTACAGTTATTTCAAAAAGGTATATCATTATTTCTTTCATCTTCATTTTAACCAAATGATTTAGAAATTTGATGTGAGTTGAATGTTGGTTCAGCTAAATCTTGCACCACTCTTACTATTAGGATGTGGTTTTTGGATTCCTATGGGTTATGGATTGATGCTCCTATAAATTAGGCTCTAATTTGAACTAGTGTGTAAATCCATAGCAAACCATAGGTCAGTTAGTGATATTTAGAGTGATGTTTGTTGCAATTTACATTGGGACCATGTTCATGATATTTAGAATACTAATTCACAGAAGACTGAATACTTGACAATCAATTACCATCCAGGTTTAACATAGGTAAACAGAAAATTTTGGTAAACTAAACATGAACATTCA